ATGTATTGAAAATGTTCTAGAATCTTGTTATTACAATAATCAATTTTTAAACTATTTTTAAATGAGAAGGAAAATTTTTATATAATTTTAGAATGAAAACCGAAAATATTATAAATTCAAGTATTTTTGTGAGATTAATTTTAGGAATTTTTTAAAAATACCACTTTTCAAGTGCCAGTTTTCAAGTGCCACTTTTCAAAAACCACATTTTCAAAAAAATTGCAAAAATGCCATTTTTCAAAAAAAATCATTATATCGTTTATGTTTGGGTTAATTATGTTGTATTAGAGTTTCGTTTTCAGGTTTAAGTAGTTTTAGGGGTCAAAACATTTTTTAGGGTTTATAATTTTAAGATTTAGGCTTTAAAAATTCATAATTATGGGCATTTTTGCAAATAAACACTCATAAATGACATTCTTGTAAATATACACACAAAATGTGGTATTTTTGCAATTGTCCCTTAATTTTAGTGGGTATAAGTTTTAGTGGACTTATTGCAATAAAATAATAATTTGTTTTCTCATTTAAAAGTGTGGTTAATTTTCCAAAAATTTAATTAAAATCAAGAAAATTGGAAAAACACCTAGTTACATGTACATATAGTATTCAATTTATGTACTTTATTAATATTTGGATAAAGATATCAATATCTATAGCCGTGTGTGATTGTGAAGACAACATTCATATTGTCTTCTTAGCCGATAATTAGATTAATAAGGGATTGACATATTTTTTTTAATGAGTTTGGACTAATTTAGTTAGAGATTAAGTTTTTAATGAGTTTGGCCTAATTTAGTTAGAGATTAATGAGTGAGATTGCCATGTCACATTTTCTACAATGTCATATCACAATTAAATTGGGAGAGTGATTTTGGTGAAGACACATAAGCAAATCACTCTCCAATTAATATATAAGAGATAGAATTAGGAGAGTTAAAGGAGTACCTCCATTCATCATGATGAGGAAGTGATCATTTATGGTTGATATGATTAGAAGTTTAAACCTTGATCTTTGATTAGGAATTTAAGTTTCTCTCCTCTTTCCCACAAACCTCTCATTTATGTGTTGTGTAATTTTGTTATCACTTTGATCCAGTCCTTTATGATGGGCTAAAGGTAAATATTTATAGGAGGAGAGAGGACCTAGTTCCTCATTAGGGTTTTGATCTCAACCATCCATCATGGTTAGAGATTAAAACTTATATGACAAATGTTAAAGTATAGCTCTAATACATGTCATGGAATTAGCCATGAATGTTACCATTTGCCTAACTTGTATGACAAGTGTTAACTTGTATGCAAATGCTAAAGTATGACTCTAATACATGTCATGGAATTAGCCATGAATATTACCATTTGTCTCTTATATTTTACACTTGTCTTTCTAATGTTTTTCTTAATTAGGAAATTAAAACTTCTTAATAATTAGTTACCAATGTTATTAAGGAATAACACTTGCATTAGAGAAATATATGAGCTATACATAAGACCATTTAATTGGGAAAATTTCATTTTCCTTACAGTCAGGCCTACTTGTCCCGACAAGGCTCGTCGTTTGGGTTACAAGGCCAAGCAGGTGAATCATTATGCCTCTAGTTTTTGCTGATTTGAACTCTTATAGTGGTCGTAGTTGTTCAGCTGCGAAATGATTTTGTAGAACGTCACTAGTACAATGAGATTATATGGAGGGTTGTTTCTGGAATTTGGTTGATATTGGTGTGTTATCTCCTTATGAAATTAGCTTAGGTTTCTTGATTTCGATTCTCTTGTGTTTGTTTGTAGAGATATTGAAGCATTTCTGATTATTTGGTTCCTGAAACAAACATGCATTTCTTCTCTAGAGGATTGTGTGTGTGTTTTTATGATTTAACCCCTCCCAGTCATCTCTTTGTGAAATTAGCGCATGGTGCTTGGTTTCGTTGCTATTTTGTTGGTAGTACGTAGAGATATGGAAGCATTTCTGTTTATGTGGTTTCTTGAAAATTGTGTGTTAATCACTGATTCCCTCTCATGAACAGCTTTATTAAAATAGCCAGTTTGATGCTAACTGACTCGCTCTATTTATGCTTCTTTGGAAAATGTAGCTATTGTTTCTGACTGGTACATGAATATTCTTCTTGCTTTAGCTGTTGTTGGGATGTTAATATATGTCAGGGCTTTGTTGTGTACCGTGTCCGTGTGAGACGTGGAGGGCCCAAGAGGCCAGTGCCAAAGGGTATTGTGTATGGTAAGCCCACAAGCCAGGGAGTAACCCAACTCAAGTTCCAGCGTAGCAAGCACTCTGTTGCTGCACTCAGAGTCGTAAACTCTTACTGGCTCAACGAGGTACAATTAGCCTCTTTCTCTTCCATTACTATTAAGGTCACTCTGATTATGTAGATATTAACTTACCTTGTCAATTGTCATGCAAATAGGATTCGACGTACAAGTACTATGAGATCATTCTTGTTGACCCTGCACACAATGCTGTGCGTAATGACCCGAGAATCAACTGGATCTCTAACCTGGTGCATAAACACCATGAGCTCAGAGGACTTACCTCAGAGGGAAAGAAGAACAGAGGACTTACCTCAGAGGGAAAGAAGAACAGAGGTCTGCGTGGAAAGGGTCACAACAACCACAAGAACCGTCCGTCTCGCATCGCCCAGAAAGAGGGGGAAGCTTGTTCTGTCGACGTCGACCTTTGCATCAATTCCCTCTCTTTTACGGGCTATCTGTTCAATAGGTGGAGGAACCCCTCTGCGAGTGCAGCTAAAGGAGGACCTTTAGGAGTTTATGCTAAAATGCGTTTGCGATTGTCATTTCCAAATAGCTTTTGTGATTCCTGTTTGCGATCACTGTTTTGCTACTAGCGTTTGTGAATATGCGTTTAGGATCAAAACCACATATAACCTATTGTCTTAACTTAAAATTTCAAATGACCCGAGGAAAAAAAATTTTCTTTTTTCTTTTCTTTTTATCTCGAAATAGCTTAAAAAGACAAAATAATCAAGCCCAAATCAACTTATTTACGACCCAACCACTAAAATCCGACCCGACACTTGACCCATTCCGCATAAAGCGGATAAAACCACCCACGACCCGACCCAGATCGACTCCTCTTCCCCTCGTCCCTTNATAACTTCCCTCCCCACGNTAAAATTGAAATNAAAAATCAGTATAACTAGGGGATAACTTGGCTGCTAAAAATTCACAAAGACATCAAATTTCCATCCTCTTTCGTGCACCAGTCCAACTGCGAACGGATATCGACTGCGAACTAGGAGAAAGGTAAGGGTTCTTCAATCGAACCCGTAAAATCTTTTCAATTTCGTAGAATTGGG